TTAGACAACATATATGCAGCTTCTTTGACAGTATACCGAAAATCCTCTCACACGGGACAGTATCTGAATCAGGAATTCAACCATCATCAATCGACTAAGAGAGGAATCATCAAGAGTCTAGTAGACCGTGCTTTCGGGCTCTGTAATACAAAGGAAGGTCTCGAGAAGGAACTAGGTATCATTGAAAAATCATCAACGGAATGATTTCTCCAAAGTGATGGTAGAACAGACTTTGTCTAGAACACAGCAATAATCTCACAAAAAAGAGAAGCCTCCACCACCAGTACTTGTACTTTCCTACATCAGAGGAATCTGTCTGTCTGTTTGATTTTGTTTAAAATCTGTTGTTTCGTTAATCAGAGGATTGTCGGAAAGAATAAAAAGAATTGGGTCTAAGTATAACATCAGAACCTGCTTCAGATCTGGGAACACTATCCGTAGCAGCCTCACGAAAACTTGGCCACCAAATGTGGGTTACGATTCCAAGAATTGCATTTACCAGATACCCTGCGAGTGCGGAGAATTATACACCTGTATTATTAAGAGGCCATTGACTTTTTTTTTTGACCATCCAGAATGCCCTATTTTCGAAACATATGATTCAAGTTGCTATTTTGTACTTGGAGTAGATATTTTTCATTGATCGCCATAACCTGACAATGTGACTGTCATTACACACACCTTGGGGCATGAGGCTATGACGTTTTTGAACTTTTCAACATCTGATTTACAACAGAGCACTGTTATAGTTTAAACTGGTTTTCTTCACTTCTGCTTTACTGAAAACCACACTATTTTTCATTGAAAATTGTCATGAGGAGATCGCCATTCTCCTGCATCATCCTGAATTTCAGAGGTATCCATACCCACTTTGAAACGATTTTACTTATAATTTCACAATCATGTGTCCGATTTTCATGCAGCTTACACCGATCGCTTCGAAAAAATATTCTTGAGATGGGTAACTATTGTTTCTCGATTTTTCTCCAAAAAATAAAAATCTATACTTGATTGTTTATAAATAATCGAAAATGGGAGTTTCCCTCCAGTAAATATATGTTTTAAAAATTCGGTTCATTTCCAAATCATTACCTTTTCATTTATCGATAGAAATATGATTACCTAAGTATTTATCCCTGAATACGGCAAGTACCTAGATGAAACCCTGACCTCCGACTATGTGCGGTTATTGTGATTGCAAGGAGGAGATTTCGCGACGACGTGCTTGCCCGTCTTTGTAGTGAAATCGTCAGTAAATTGAGAGATGTGCCATTTGAAAAGATGTCTTTGATCATCTCACCAGCATATTCTGGAACACGCCCACCGATCCCCTAGAAATTTTGAGGTTAATGCATTTTCACAACCCGAGTGCAGGTATTCATTCCACTTAATGGCATCTCACTATTACCAACTTTTCTTATGCTGACTATACCCCTCATAACAAATTCTTATTACAACATGTACTGATTATCCAATTCATTTGGTTAATGTGATACAATGAACATTCCCAGTCTATTGTCTTCCCGTTTGGTTCAAATTACAACAAGAGCATCGATTTGAAGCTATATGAAGTTTGCGAAACGATGCTCCGCAATTGTTAATGCATATCAATTAGCAAATGGCTATTGATCGTAAATTTGATCTGTATATAATTATTGCTCTGATGAGAATATCACGCATGTGAACTCGGAATCGTTCACAATCCACATTCGTGATTGTCATTTCAATATTGATGATAATGCCTTTATAATTCATTTCACAATAGATCTATAGATGGAACTGTATTGACTTGATGATTGAAAGATGAAAATATAGATGAGGTGGAATATAATGACGGGAAAAGGGCCAAAATTGAAAATCAAATTTGATTGTACCCTATAAGTGTCTGACGATTTTTTGGAGTACAGTATGAAACTAACCAAAATTTTGGTTATTGCGTCCAAAACTGACCGCTGCTGTCATTTTCATGTATTTGGAACATGGTTTTTTGAGAATCGTTGAACCAAACAACAACCATGTCACAGACGTATATTATACTGTTGCCAAAAACTGAATTTCAAAGTCATATTGACTATAATGAGAATGAATAATCAAATGTAGAGCAAAAAATAGAGTGACTGAAAAATTCAAACTGTGCCTCATTATAGAAATCGGCAACTCCAATGACAAATATCTATTTTGAGGCTCGAAACTATCAGTCTTCTTTCAAAGGAATTCTATAATTAGAAGTTGAAAACATTTTTCACAAAAAAATCAGCAAATTCCCCACTCCACTGGACAGAAATGATAAATCAACTCAATCAATAATGATTATTTTAATTTTGGTGAAGATATGTTATCATAACCTATAATCCAGCAGAACCCTAGTTGTGAATTTTAAAATTTCAAACTCCCATTCACTGAAAAGGTGTTTGCGGTTTTGAAACCTACAGAAGAACAGAAGAGCAAATGAAATGAAAATCAGTAGGATTTCGAAATATTTGAAAATACTTAAATAAAACTGGACCGACATATTTGTATGAGTTAAGAGAAATGATGTGGAATGTCGATTATACACAAACAATAAAATTAAAATAAAATGAAATGATGAGAATCAGTGATGGAAAATAAAAAAAAGTAAGAAGAGATTCCAAACCACATGCTTCATAACGTTTCGTTCGCAAGTATCCACAATCATCTTCACATGATAACTTCCATATTCCCGATACTTGAGATTGTTTATAGATCACTTGGGTGCTTTTACTTTTTCCCTCTCTCCTCTCGGTTTTCGATTCAGTGCAACGTAGATTGTTCAATTTTTTATCAAATGTATTCTGTTGACTAGGATTTTGAAATATTTTCCCTCTGACATTACACCTGTAGTTCGCATCAATAAGCCAGGCTTGAATACTATTGAACAAATTTTAACGAAAGTTGCAATGTGCTCTTAGGTGGAATAGATGTAAGCCGTAAAAAAAATGTAACAAATCGATCTATATTTTGAATATGTATAATATACACTTGTATATAGATATACATATATTAATTTCCTACGAATATTTTCATTTATTATTTTCATTATTGGATACATCAGTAATTAGTATGGTTAATTGTAAGACTGAGACAAAAGGCTTATTGTATGAGAAATAAGATACACATGTTTTCGAATGAAAATCAGAAAGATATCCAGAGCTGCGGTTCTCAAACTTTTCTTGTGACGGAACCCTCTTGGAAAGCGAAATACTTGACGGAGCCCTACAATAAAACAATAGCAGAATCAATCCTGACCGCTCTTGACTGAATGATTCCGTACAGTCTATCTCGTCTTGTGTTTGTAAATCTTTTGCTGAAAAAATCCTTACTTATTTACTTTGTAGTAAATGTTCAAGGGGTAGCAAAGACGTATGTGATTTTCAGAAACTAGCGTTTCCTAATATGACTAAACAACCCTAAGAAGTCGAAACTCGTGCGAGCTAAGGACTAACGAGGCCTTACCTTTTAACGTGTGATTCCTAACACGGGTTGGACAATAGCCAGTGGAAATCGAGCGTTCAACCTGGGGCTTGAACCATCGACTCACACATCGGCCGATTGACTGAGTGAACGAAGCACCCACGTCGACCCGCCCGACTACCAACTGATCAAGCAAATAGATGAACACTTCAATTTAGCAGATGACTTTTATAATCTCCATGCAGACATTGTTCACTGTGGTTCTGGTGTTGAATTTGATTATTATTACGCATTGGTCAAAGACGAAACCGACTGCTTTGACGATTGTCGTGTCACTAAGTATTCTGGCGATGTCTTGAGTTCATTGGAGCCTCTGGAGACACCCTACATTTTGTTTTATGATGGAGAGGACATTGGCAGATCAAGATCTTCAGATCATGTTGTGCTGCAGGTTTTTCTGGGTTTTCCTACAGCTGAAACAGCAAATACGCCACTGGAATCAATGAAGTCGCCCCGGAGCGCCAATTAATTTTTGTTGTTGTTTCATAATTTCATGATTTGTATTACTTTCTCGATGAGTTTATAAATGAATCAAAATAAAACAACAGTTTTCCAAAGTGTATTCTTTATTAATAACCATAATGAAAGTACAATATAACAGTTACTTATTACTTACCTACATAACAAATAAAATAATAGAAGATATTAGAAAAGAAAAACAACCAACTAATGGGAGTCATGAAACTTATTTTTCATTTTCCATTAATTGGTTGATAGAAGATAGTTGAAGTTCCATATCAGGTTCGGTGCCCAGTCTATTGCGGTATTTTGTTTTCGTGGCTGCATAGGTTGATAATTCTGTTTTGCACAAATATGTTGTTGGGAACGAGATTTTGCAAGTTGAGTAAAAAAGGATTATGAATCCATGAATTCACTTTCATTTTTGTATTCTGGGAAAATACATTGAAGTGAGATGTTGCACCAATTCTTTAAATACATCATCTTGAAACATCTCTGAGTCGTTATCGCTAACAAACTCACTGAGTGACGTAAAGCTTTCTATTTCTCTCTTACCAACGCAAATAATCCAAAAATCTGATCTGACATTTATTTTGTTATAGGCCAGGAACACTGTTGTCTGTTTACCTTGCAATGATAAATTTAATTTGTTCAGTTTTTTGAAGATATTCGCCATGAAATACAGTCGGAACAACCGAGTTTTATCATACAAACGGTCTTACAAATTAAAAGAAGTATCTGAAACAAACATTCGTAACTCGGCTCTAAGTTCAAATAGCCTTGTTAAAGTTTTACACCGAAACAACCATCGCACTTCTGTATGGAGCAACAGTGTTTTATGTATCCACAATCATGTTCGGCTGATGATAGAAGTCGGTAACGAAATATTAGGGATCACTTTTCAGCCCTGTTTTATTTTCAAAACTTCTAACCTGTCGCCTCTCTCAACCGTACAATGAAAAAGTGCGTCTCTTTTGTTATCGCCTGGGACTTCTCATATTTTCTTTTGTGTTTGAATAATCACGAAACCATTCCTTTTTTCATTTTAGCGAAGGCTTACAAATACTGCGACTTGACGGGATCGTGGGAAACAAGGAATAGCACAAACGGAACGTATGATTATACACATTACGAAAATTGTATATTGCCACAAATACAAGAATTGGCGAAGATGTGTGACAAATTTGGAGAAACAACTTGTAGTCAGGTGAGTTCAATGTTATGGGAAAACTAAAAGAGAAACGAGTTTAGATCAACAACTCTTTCAACGTTAGTAATTCGAAATTAATATACGAAAGCCATTTTTGGTGAAGGAGTTGGCCTTTTCAAGAACTGTTCACCTTCGACAAATTACTGCATGAAATCAATATAAACGGAGCAAACTGATTCAGAGAAAACCTGGTACTTCATCAAATGTTCAGAAAGTCAGTCAACAACTTAGACATACAATATGTTTTAGAAGTTTTTTGACATCTGACGAAGAAATTCGAAAAATGAAACTTGCGAGAAGACTGCGAAATAGCGGATTTTGAATTCTGTGAAGACGAAGCCAGATATAGGTGTCTGAATATTCAAGATGAATTCCCTACGAAATTCTAAGCTCTTCTTTGGTGGGAAAAATTATTGAGTACGACGTGTTACTGATTAACTGACTTTTTATTGAGAAACATATATAGATTTCATGCAGTAACTCATACATATGTATGAGGTTTTCCATTACTACTACTTTTTTTTGCAGATTGTAGAAGGTAACTAGTTCCAAAAAAGTTCAATACCAATAGGTATGTTGATTACACTGAGTTGAAAATTTTTGTGAAATAATAAACTGTATAGCTGTATATTTTGCCTAGGTTAGGTTAGGTTAGGTCCAAAGTGAGTGGGTCTATTCGATCCTCCACCGCAACCCGCAAGGGTTTATTGTGGATCACACCTCTTCACACTCGACCAAATAAACTCAGCTTCTTAACAAAGCCGATTAGTTTGTTTGGTGAGTGGTCTTTCAGGTCAGATGGTAAGAGTACGGCTCTGCCGAACTGAACTGAATTTTCTTGCCATCCAGGTGTTCAATGTTTGTTTGCAAAGCCTGAAGCGATGCCAATGACAGGTTCTGATCCGATGAAACTGCTTGCAACACCCTCCTTTGCAAGGGGGTCAGCAGCTTCATTGCCTTCTAGTCTAAGATCCGAACCTAAATCGACCTTCACCGAGCTGATAATAGAATGAAATATATTTTATAATGAATTTAGTATTAGAAAATATGTTAAAATAAAAATAATCCTGGACAGACTATTTTTAATTATTTTTTGAAAAATGATTTTTAATTAAATTTTGCAACATCAAGATAATAAGAGAAAATTTTTGTCCTTATTTGAAGTATAAAACGTATAGAATGTGCAGCCGTTGGGTTGTCTATCATTTACCTGGGCGAACTACTGGTTTGTCAGGTATATCGATGCCAGTTACTTTCACTGGATTAGATAATAAAAAAAATGTATATCATCATTAGCGGTGTTCATTGAGAACACATTGATATAGGGTTGTCTCCAGAAAATTCGGTCCTATTAGGGGTTTGTGAACTTTAAAGATTTGAATTTCAGTGTTCGTGGAAATGTGTGACAGAGAGATCCGAGGTAAGTATACTGTGTAATAATAAAGGACCCAACATCGTAGTCACCTCGAATGGGACCTTGAATATTAGAAAGTGCGCATGCTCTATATGTAAACTATAGAGGGAAGAGGTACCTCTACCACCCTCCAAATAGTAAACAGTGTGCGTTATTTTGGAGCAACTGACATTTGAGTTGCAAAAAAAATAACTCTGAGGGAATGTAAGATTTAGTTTTTCCTTCCCGGAAGTTTTTTTTACGCAATTGCAAAACAAGCATGTACTTATGTTGGACGACGATGCTGTTGATGTTGACGCTCCCTAAAATAATGAAATTAATTTTATAAATATTAAAAAAAAAATTTCAAATAATAAAAATTGAAGGAAGGTAGAAACTGAAAAAAACAGGTGAAAGGTCCTTCAGAATAGTAGTTGTTCGTTCAGATTGTGCTATTTTCAATTCAATCAGATAATAATTAAAAAAATCATATATTATGTACTTACTGAATACTCTGTACAAAAAATTTAAAATTTTCTATTGTATTCATTTCCTAAAACAGTTACTTTTTTCTAACACATGGTGTGGTAACCAACAAAATCGAGTACTGCTTTGGTTAGTTCAGCTTCATGATATTTAAAGTTTTTTTTTACAAAAAGCTAGCTTCAAAGAACAAGTTTCATCAGTAAAATCACTTAAAGAATCGTCCGAGCCACACAAAAAACACTTTTTAGCCATTTTTCATCACAACGATACATATACAGAATAACACGTGTTTTCAAAGCAATATAATATTGAGTCATTAGCTACTCCAAAATAACGCCCACTGTTAACTATGTGTAGGGTGGTAGAGGAACCTTTACCCTCTATAGTTTACATATCGAACATGCGCTAATATTCAAGGTCCCATTCGAGGCGACTACGATGTTGGGTACTTTATTATTATACAGTATACTTACCTCGGATCTCTCTGTCACACATTTCCACGAACATTGAAATTCAAATCTTTAAAGTTCACAAACCCCTAATAGGACCGAATTTTCTGGAGACAACCCTATATCAATGTGTTCTCAATGAAACAAACCAACGGCTGCACATTCTATACGTTTTATACTTCAAGTAAGGACAAACATTTTCTTATTATCTTGATGTTGCAATATTCAATTAAAAATCATTTTTCAAAAAATAATTAAAAATAGTCTGTCCAGGATTTTTTAGCGAACCCATTTTTAACATATTTTCTAATATACTTAATTCATTATAAAATATATTTCATTGTATTATCAGCTCGGTGAAGGTCGATTTAGGTTCGGATCTTCTACTATTCCAGGCCAGTATGGCCAGGAATCCAGACCAGAGACAATCTTTTAAGTCTTCCTATCGAGGGGAGTCGTTCTTGGCAATATATTTTGCCTAACTCCACATGTTCGAATTTCTTCAATGGGATGAATTAAAGAATGATATTTATAAAACTATGGAACTAGTAATGATTATATATCGAACATTTGAAAACAATCGAAAATTTTCAGATTCATCATTCAGTTATTTTATTTTGTGGTCCAAATCTAATTCAAAAACTATAATCAAATTCAGGATTAAAATGCTTTGCAAGATTCTTTCGATGATTTTAGGTTTTGTTTCGTTGTTTTCCAAAAGCTGAAATAAATGAATATAGATCAATAGCGAATATGTGTGATTGATGACTTGTTTATTTTGTGGTAATCCATGATCACTTTAATGAAATGAATAGTAACACTTTAGTCTAATTTCCTCTAGTTAATTTTATTTATACGAAAGGTTTCGGGTTTGATTTGAAAAATCGGTTATATCGGGAAACCGGAGATATAACCAAGTTTTCAAATTTCACATTTTAGTTTTATACCTGATAATGTATGGGGTTAAACCCGAAACCGGTCGTATAAATAAAATCAACTAGTTAAATAAGACAGAAGTGTTTTTATTCATTTCATTAAAGTGATCAATAGCGAACTTGCTTAAGTATATTAAATGGCAAACGGAGAAGCTCAACACTAAAAATTACTGTGTAATATGAATTCTGGAAGAATCAGTAACCTGTGACACTCATTTATGAATGTCATCTTTGTTCGATGTTACTTAGCTTTCACAAAATAGCTAACGTTCATTGAAACATTTCTTTTCCGTCTTCCAAGCTTGAAAAAATCTTGAGAACTCTCCCTTTGAAAATATTCACATTTTTTCACAAATATCGAAAGGATTCGATGTCAAAATATTGGACTACTGCGCCTTAAGAAAAGCAGAGACCAAAAATAAAGCCAGAATGTCACGATGTCATATTCGATACATAAACACATGAACCAGTCACTGTCACAATCACAGAATGTTGTCTTACAACTTAGTTCAAATTTTACCTTTTGCCTCAACAATGGTGATGAGGTGCGATGTGTTTCTTCAGAATTAGTTGAAATACACTTGTTAACTGCCAAAAGTATATAAACGAATTCTTTGAGTTCTTTCGATTTTTCGTGAAGTATTTAGTGAAAACGTTGGTTTTCATTCCATCTCATTGCGTGATCACCATTCAATTTCAAAATATACTTCGCTATGCACAATTCTGTTTTCTGTCTTCTTTTTATGTGTTCACGATGTTCACCTCGATAACATTTATCACAAGGACCCCTCCATGCCCCTCTGCCTGGATTGAGTGTCCGGGGATATAATCTTCCCCACACGGTTACTGTGTGCAGAAGCTAGAATCTCGTCCATCCACCACCACTCATCCCTAAGTGGACCTCAACCTGCTGATGGGCACTTCAGCAAGATTGACATCTGACCTACTGCGGCCGAAAATCTTCCCTGTTGAGCACTTTATGTAGATCACGCAGCGCTGGACTGGTGTGTGATCGAACTCTTTCGAACACGTTTTTGGCGTGTTCTCTCATTTACGTGTCTACTCAATGGATGTCCAGGTCCAGGTCCCGGTATATGGTATATATCTTGAAGCGTTTATGGCGGCTAGCACGCAAGCGTTTATAATCGTCTGGATATTGCATCTGTATATCGCTACACACTAGCACCATACAGTGCAGGCATACAGGATGATTGGAAAAAGTACGGTCTTGATAAGCAGCAGTTTTATGTGAAGTCCCATGTAGAGAGGGCGGCTCTCGCCAGCTCTAGTCTCTGCCGTATGTGGGCCCTGAACGTTAGTCTTCTATTGAGAGTGACTCACACGCATTTTGCTTCGTTGGTCCATGGAATCTCTTGTCCGGTGAAGATGACGTTTCCTTTCGGGTGTACCAGTATCGCCTGACTCTTATCAGGGTTCATACTGATTTTCCAAAGGTTGCCCCATTCCTCTAATCTGTCCGCTTGCTGTTGCAAGTATCTGGTAACTCACGCATGGCTAGTTGATCTCGCCAGTAGAGCTGTCCACCTTGTTGGACCCCTGCTTCCAGTAATCGCATGGTAGATAAATCTTGCCCTACTCTGCAGCGGCAACGCCGGTCAGCTAGAAAAAATTCGATTACTCTTATCATTTGTTTCGAGTAGAATATCTGAAAATATCGCTCCGGTGTGGTATCCTTTGCCGAGGTTGGAACCTTCTGTCGCATAATCTACTATCCTCAAGACGTGTAGCTCTATTGAGTATTTGGATCTGATGCCGAACTGTCCGTCTGGTAAGATTCCCAGTTAGCTAATTTGGTTCTCTAGTCTTTCCAAAATGACTCGTTCTGCCACTTTTCTGATGGAAGGGGTTTGAGCTTATTGGTCTATGGCTATCCGGAAATATGTGGTTCTTCTTTGACTTTGGGATGTGAGTGACCGTTGCCTCCGTGAACGGATACGGGAAATGTTGTAGTCTGAGTACAGCGTTAATGATATACATCATTATCGCTATACCCTTCCTTGGAAGGACCTTCAGCGCCCGGTTTGGAATTTGGTCCGGGCCTGGGGCTTTCCGAGGGACTAGGCACCTTACGATGCCTCTCACTTCCTCGGGAGATGTCGGTGCCAGGGGTTGTGCGTTGTCCCTTCGTTGCCGTCTTATCCTTCTCACCGTCTCTTCGACCTGGTTTTCGATTTCTTCTACTTCGTCCGTGAACGAGACATCATTTTTTCTACACTGTCTTTTGGAATTGTTAGCAAATGTTTCCGCTTTCTCTTGGCCTGTGTAGACCAAGCATAGTTTTCGGTGTCCTTTCCAAAGTGTTGAGTTCTTCCAGACGGTTTGTCTATCTCCCTCTAGTACATTCAGCTTTTCGTTAAGCTGCTTAATGAGGCTTACTAATTCGTCTTTCTGCTGACGAAGCTTGTAATTTTACCTCTCTAGGGTTTCCGGTTTTTCCTCCATAATTTTCATCATAGGGCCCTAAAAAATCCAAAAAGGGAAGCTAAAAAAATTGAAAATTAAATTGTGTGCTTTGCACACGAGTAGTTCTGATAAGAACTCAGGTCATTAAACCATTTGGTTTTCATTCCAGGTAGTCGATCTATGGTTGTTCACAATAGAACTTAAATCAGTACTATTAACTTTCGTCTCAATACGTCTACTCGCTACGAATGCTCGACTCGAACTGAATCCACAAGGACAAGCAGTACTATAAATATTTTTTCTATCACTATCGTGATAAATTTATTTATTGTGGAGATGAAAGTTGAACATTTCTATCAAAATAACTCAATCGATTTTTTTATCAAAACAGGAAAGCGAGTTGGAGATGACCTTCCTTTTCACGAGTATTTTGGATTCTTCTATGTTCAAGTACTGTCATATAGATCATGGTTCCAGGAAGCGAATACATTGTCAACATTAATTTTTCATATCTATGAACGTTTCTGATGAGTAGCAATGTATTCTCTTCAAAATGTTCCATTATGGTGGTACTCTAAATTGGTGAAGAGGATGAACTCATTTCTATTCCAAATTCTTGTTAATGAAAATCCTCTTTGAACTGAAACAAAATTTTATCGGTATATAATTTCAGAAGCTCCAAAGTTGCTTCAATTTCGTTATATTTTTCGAATTAGTGAAATTTCATGATTTCGTTTTCACAATTCTCAGACTTCAAATGTAATATTCGTAAACAACCTCAAATTTTCTATTGATCTGTATTCATTTTTTCAGGCCTTGAGCTTCAAATAAAACTCATACTTTGTCTCTTATATATTCGACGTACGAAATTTCCCCTTTAATATTTGTTTTCAATCCTCCTGAATCTCTTTATCATTCGAAAGTATAATGACTGTCATGTGTAATTTTCACGAACTTCAGTCAGCAAAATAATTTGTTGTGTGGTTTCATATTTGACGAGAGTTTTATTTCAAATTCGTTCTGAATTCCAAAGTACATACGGAATTTGAAGTTTGCCCGATATGAATAAAATAAAATCGAAACCAATATCAAGTTTTCCAAAAAATTAACCCTTCTTTTTTTGTTACAGATAGGAAAAATTACGAGGTGTATAGAAATGGTTGGCCTCTCCTTCTCCTTTGTATCATTAGTGATATCATTGTACATATTTTTCTCATATAGGTAGGTATTATTTTTTCTGAAATTATATATTCTACAATCTTAGAACGAACTCCAAAAAGAATAAAATAATGTGAATTGTCATCAAATAAGTCAGCCACGTCATTTGTCAATAACAAATTGCATAATATCAGCACTTTTTCTGGAAGTATTATTTCATTACATAATAGTCAATGATGACACACCAAATGGAATCAAACGTTTTTCCAGAAGATCAATATTACTCATTATTCACATTATCATGGGAGCCATTGAAGAAAAATTGTTTCTTTCTATGTTATGAAAATGAATATTCATATTTTCTCATGAACCATTGTGGTTTCTTGAGAATGAATGATTCAACCACTCAAGTATAAAAAATTTTCATTCATAATGGATGTTTGTATCTGAAGTAAATTGTTGTATTCTACATTGTTCAAAAAAAAATTGTTGATATTTAAAATGTGCTTTTTTTGTTAACCAGTTATCGCACTCCTACGAACGAAAACCCTGAGAAGTCGAAAGTTGTGCGAGCTAAGGACTAACGAGGTCTTATTTTTCGACGTGTGATTCCTATAATCTTTTATTCTTTCACTTGGAAGTTTTTCAGTATTGGAAAAAAACAAGAGCATTTGAAAAATGTATCTCTCCGTTGAAGTAACAGTACTCCTTTTTCATGGATGGGTAATTATTATCGAATTTTCACAGATCATTCTGAAACTTCATGAAAATTACACAAGGAGTGAAAAGATTGAAGAAATTTCAGGAAATCCTAAAATTCAATCCCACAAAATTCAGACTTGAATTTTGTGTGTATTTAGTGCTGAAAAAATTCAAGGTTCTCCTTACCTTCTATCATTCAGTGACACATTTTTTTCTCGAATCATATTTCATAAAAACAAAATGAAGCTCAATCCGGCTCTGATTATAAGTTCATTGTTCCAACATTTTATCCCCTCAAATAAACTTTTCTGAAACCATGTTTCGTATTGTGAAAGTTTGGTAAATTTTTTCGTACTGGTCACATATTTCTATCATCAGAGCTTGTTAGATACCATAACAGGAGCCGGGCATTATGAACCATTATTTATCTTGTAGTTGGTTGTTCTCTTCATCGAATCGAAAAAAAATCGACTCCAGTAATGCATTTCGTGAATTTTCTATTTCAACGATCTCAAAAATAATTTCAAAAGAACGCTGGATTTTTTAGTTAAATTGGCACTGGTGGACTACATATAAAATTCATTCAAACACACTATTTTTTTTTTTTGACTGTAATTGTAATGAATTGTTATGATAAATTGAGAGGAGTGTTCTATTTGATTCATTATTGAATTAATTCAGCGTTATTTCTCAAACTAACTGATATTTATGTTCCAGGGTATTGAAAAACAACAGAACGAAAATACACAAGAACTTATTCATTGCAACTCTGCTGCAAGTTATCTTCAGGCTGATAAAATACATAGATCAAGGACTTGATCCGACCAATAAATTCATACACAAGGTGAGTTTCGAAGCAAGCCTAATGTGTTTTCAAAATAACAACTAACAACCAGGAACAGAATAGTAAAAACCTCTTTCAAAAACCTGGCCAACTACATAGATTTAGTTAAAGAATTATTATAATTTCAGATCAAAATTTTCATTTCAAATTTGTCTCTACTCATATGTGAGTGGCTAAATTATCACAAGATCCTTATTTCTCAGTCACTTAGTCGATGATATGGCAGGTACTCCCAATTGAAAACTTAAAGTTGTTGAATTGATTGTCAATTGAATTGGCACTGGATACTTTGATGACTTCCATGGATTTTGCAATGCACTATTGTCACATATTGTGAATACAAGTCTTTCGATTACATCAAGAAGTTTAGTGTCGAACTATGAAATTGAATAGGTATGGGGTGTTCTTTCACTCAATTTATCCTAGAGCATTTGCATTGTCCAACATAGTTTTTGTCTTCCACCGCTACTTAGTTAGCAGCTTCTCAATTCGCTTAATTCGAAGCTGGATTCAAGAATCATATTCATTGTCAGTGTGAATATTCACACTGACAATAACAAAAAGTTCCGCAGAGCACTGTATCAGGTCCACTACTATTTATATGAACTGAATTGTCGATTGTGATTCCATCCGCCTACTTGCAAATGATACTTCAACTAGCTTCTTCTGATGAAATAATCATTTTTCCCCACATAAGATATATAGTTTCAAGGAAAATTGGACACTATTTGATAGGCAATAAACCCAAACTAACTGTTTCATGGAACTCGATTTCTAGATTGTCGATGAATAAATACTATGAAATAAAGTTTGCCAAATGTAGGAAGAACTTTCTGAATTCCGTTAAGGTCTCGCCTACTAGATGTTCGTTAGAAGATTATGAGAGCGACAGAGAGAGAGAGAGAGAGAGAGAGAGAATTCTCAAGTCTCTTCCTAGATTTGACAAGTTGTATCTGGGTCTTCATTATTATTTCATAATCACTTTGAATATATCATTAATGAAAAATTAAAAAAGTATAACTTTTTCTAGCATACCTTTCACTCTCTTCCGGGTCAAACTAAGTACCTATACTGTGAAGAGAAATAATAAATTAACACTTCATTTAATGTGCTTTCGTTTTATATTTGATTAATTTGAATTTTACCTGTCTCATCGATGTTAAATTCTCAATAATGGACGTATGTCTGAGATTGTTGTAGATAACAATGACTCTCAGTCACTGTTTCTCGAAACTTGGATTTTGCATATTTCCACGACTATGTTATCTATAGTTTGAATGTTCATTACTATAGCATAAGATCTAGCTTCAGTATCCACATCTCAATTACCAATAAACTAAGTTCTATGATGTCTCTGTTCTTTAATGGATGCCTTATGTAAAATAAATTCGAAAAAGAAGTATTGTGGTCTCCTATGTCAAATTATGAAGACACGCCCGAATATGAGTAGCAAGTACTTAGACATATTCTCTGACAACAAGAAGAGTAACAGTAACCAAAATGTATGTGATGCCATCAAAATTGTAAAGAGTCTTCCATGAATGCAATTCATGACCAATTCCATAAATCACGGAGATAATATTCAAAAGCATTGGATGAAACGATTCAGTTTGATAGAGGATTCGTGGCACTCAGTAACGTGACAAAACAACCAAACTGTTTGTACTATTAATCTTGATTTATATGGTGATCCACTAAATATAATGTGATTATTTTACTTTGCGTTTTCCAACAACATTGGTGCATACTCGATGATAGATATTATTGAGTTATACTAGCTGAAAATCTATTTTCGAAGCCCAGGATATGGATAAGAAAAAAAAAACAAACAAAAAATAAATCTGTCAGCAGAAGATTTACGTCAAAATCTAAACAGTCAAGAAATATGATACTGACGTACAGCTATCGGAGTCGGCTGAACATTTTACTATAAATGAGAACTCAAGGATGATTCTTTTTTGGTAATTCCTCATTTATATGGAACATTTCTTTTTTGTATCAATACGAAATACTTACTTCATATGGTAATACCCATACAAAATATCAAATCTTAGAAATATTTAACTTTACACAAAAAAATTGTTTCTGGCGAAACAAGAAACATTGCATAAAATGCTTGGTCTTTCAAATAACAAATAACAATCATCCCAGATATGAACCAACTTCTGAATGAATCCCACAATATAAGAACAGCTTTAACGCAAGACTGGCAAGAGACACAATTGAAAAGAACAAAATTCGGGGTGGTAGGCCGTGGTCGAGTGGAACCCGAAGTATAGTTCAAGTACCTTCCAGTAGTTCAGGAGCTAACTAATTTTGTTATTCAATAATCATTTCTGATTATATAAAAATCACAATAACTATATATAGGGCTGTATATATTAGGGCTATTCAAATTCGTTTCTGTACATGGAGATCTCGTAAACGATAAGAGATAGTGTGTCGGTTGAATTGTGGCAAAGTTGTGTATTTCAGAGACCTATTCAATGATGTAAAGAAATCGAATATAGCTCTTTTGTTCTGGAGATGTACAGGAATAACCGAAAAATTCCAAATTATTGTTTTGCCTATATATTCTTTATTCGCAGACATATTGAAAATCTGTCAACATTTTGCTATCGACACTTGATGTGGGCTCTCAGAATATATCCATGAATCTTTTATACAGGTGTCATCTGACTTGAGACACCCCCATCTTTCAATTTTTAAATACGGACCTGAATTTTTTGTTGTAGTTTTTGGATCGTAGACGTTCACTTCATGCTGAGAAATTAAATTCAATTTTATATTTCGGGATGTTTCGGTAGTATTCAATTATAATTGTATGAATTATTCCCTTTTAAATAACGGCCCTGTAAATTGGTTGACTGTGCTGAATAAAAACATAATAGTAACTTTCACGTCTCCCTATGTATCGTAGAGTTTTTCGAGAATTTTTTTTCATTTTAAGGTACCTATTCATATTTTTTCCATTGCTCTCAGCGTTTTCTACGATGAACTTCGAATAAGAAAACCTTTTATGATTATTTGAAACATATCTACATCAAAAATATATTATATGTGTTTCAATAAGCAGAAAAAGAAATAATAGCAATAATAACATCCGAAACGAGCAGATTTTGGTAATCCCGCATCAAATCGCATCTTGTGTTCATAAGGTTTGTTTTTGACTATTTTACGTACAGTTGAGAAAGGAATTTCGGTCAAATCTGATGTTGCTTGTAATTTTTTTTTCCTCGAAACCAAATTTGATATGTAGATTCTTATATACATTGAAACATACTCTCTGTATTTCAATATTCAAATGCATCCGAATCTCATTCACTGGTATCTCTTTTTCGCATTGTTCACCAGCAGTATTGGAATCACTACACAGGAAAAAGTCTGCGTTGTTATCACATTCGTTATTACTATTAATACTTGTCCAATGACGCCACATTTTAAACAAATAACAAACATTTCAAGTAATTATAACTTCACCAATATCGAATTTCAACACTCAAATCGGGATCAGTTCCTGAACCGAACATTGACGACACAACGGCGGTACTCATCGGTATATTCTGTTGGTCACCGTAACATGACTTCAAATTTAATTTTATGACTCTTCAGTCAATCATAAAACTCGGTTAGTAAAAATTATCCAATACGAACCGCCAATTCTTCATTCCACGTGGACTAATTCGTTGCGGCATAATTCCTTTGCATTGGTTTTTTTTACCTTTGACTTCGCCGACACCTTTAAGATTACTATATCGGTTACTTCAACTATACTAAATGTTTCGTCTGCTATTGTGGCAGACATAATAAGTGATATCAGCGTTGATTGAACAGCATAGGCTGGCACTGACGATTAGAAAAAACAAAATCCAAGCTATCAGGCCGTGGTATAAAAAAAACTTTAATTGTCAAGTGTTTTGTCTGCCACTGCAGCAGACATCTTCAGTGGTGTATGTGTTAATTATAGAAACGGAAGTAGCATCTCGAGGTCCCAACAACAACTGACTGGGGAGCTCTGTATTTACTCGTATTCATACCTGTACGGGTTGGTGGGGTGTCTATGAGAATGTTTACTCCTAATTGGTCTGAATTTGAGCAAGGTTATTCTGATTGGTTCACGTTGATAAGTGTGCTGCTGGGATGTCCATCGGCGTTATATTCAAGTTCGTTTCTGGTTTTCCGGATACCACGTTCTGTTGACTCATATGCCGTATTCTTTTCTGTAGAAACTGTTGGGATGTTTGTTCGGAGTAAAAAATGGAATATTCAGTGTTACGATCTTGGTTCGGGTTTGAAAGCCGTCGTGGTTTGGAACTGTATCCTAACGTTTCGCCAGCATGAGTGGGTGACTTCTTCAGAGGTCTATTCATCCTGATGGTTCACCGATGACTGGTGATTTCTAGTTCGTAAGCTGTATTTATGTTGACACAAATAGCCCGCCTTTCTAGTTGGTGCGTTGTTATTGGCCGAAGTGTTATTACCTGTTACATTGCGTTGCACTGCTGCCACCTTAGCATCTTTTAGTATGGAATTCCAAATCCGGTTAAGCGTTATCGCTTCCTCCTTTCTGTTGTAGTTTTCTATATGTTTATGGATTTTTATGGCTTCCCGTACAAGCTGACTGTGGTATCCAAGATCAGGTGCAATTAGTTTCACATCTTAAAATAGTATCATACGATCTCCTCCACTTAACTCGTGTTCCTTTACAGCCGATTTTTCTATTTGACCTAATCTACAGTTTCTCCGATGTTCATTCAGCCTTGTACCCATGGATCTTTTGGTGGTACCGATATAAACTTTTCCGTATACCATGCCCCTGCGGAAAAGTGGGTTGGGCTACCTATAGGGCGCGTCCCCAGGTGGCGGATAGGGGAACGGCTATGGCCTGTCCGGGAAGCCAATGCGGCCTTACGGACGGGGTTGCAGGACTCCTGGTCAGTGGCAGAAATAAGTAGGGTGAGGAGAACTAAAACCCCTCAAAAGCCCTGCAAACCATACCA